GGATGCCAATTTTTGACAAGTCTGTCCCTCTTGGAGTTGTTTTATTTGCTCTCAGTCATGTGCTTCTAATGAAGTTTGATTTTCTTTGAGGAAAAAAGAGTGTGTTTGGCAACTTACTGAAAGGCCAAAATATCAGAGCAGTTAATACAAATCTATCTTACTGTCAGGTCTGACAAATATTATTTTGGTGAAATAGTAAAAATAATGCTAACTAAGTAATATGATTACTAAAAGCCTGAGTTAACCCAAACAAGATCTGCTAGTTTCTTTCTCGTCCCTGATTACCCATTAATGAACACCAGCAGTGTTCATTAATAAGTGTAGCATATACTTAATATATCATTTGCAAAACTACAGGAGAAACCTATTTTGAAAATTACTTGGCACTATTTCTTTAACTGTTCACACTTCCTTTGTAAAGAAGCAGTTAATGAGGCTACTGGAGCTCAAAAAGTTTTCTCTCTGTCTTGCAGCAATTTGGCAGTGTATCTAGTCCTTATATCCAGGCCTTTGTACCTGCTATATTTCTTTTCTCATAATAGTTCTTCTCATCATCTGCCCCTGAATAACTACCTACATTTAAATAACTTCTTACATCGACAAAACCCGCCGACACATTTCATCTCATCATCAAAATGTTCCTTTGCATCCATTACCCTCTTTTAAAGATTAGGGGGAAAAGGGAGCAGAGGCAAGAGTATGCTGGATTGAAGTTTCGTCAGAATTTGTGAATTATCACGCACACAAAGGCTGGGTTCATGATCTAATTATTTTTTTGTGGGGGCGGGTACTGGGGATTGAACTCGGGTCCTTGCGCTTGCAAGGCAGGCCACCGAACCGCTGAGCTAAATCCCCGACGTCATAATCTAATTTCAAAAGAAAGTGGTCCACTTGCATGAGGACTGAGTAAAGAGAATTGTGTTTGCTTTGACTCAAGTTATTTTATAAACTGTATATGTAGGTGGAAAGGTCACCATCCATAATGAAGCGATTTGCACAGAACAGTTTAGCAGACAAGCCGCTGGGTGAGTAATCAATGCTGTAGGAGTCCCAGAGGAGAGGCTGCAGGGGCACTGAGTGTTGTGCTTTCCAACAGAAGGAAGCATTGCTATTTATTGGACCGGGGGCTTATCAATTCATTTTGTTTGGTTTAGGCTGTTGGAAAAATAAAAATCTCAGAATTATCCTAGGATTATAGTTCCATGCTGAGCTAAAATCTAGTACGTTTTGTTTTGCTTTGTTTTTGTTTTTGTTTTTTACTGTGTATTTTAAATTTGACAACATATTTAATACTTTTTTCTTACATTACATTTTCCATGACTGAATAATAAATAGTTTAATTAAAATATAATACACATAACATAACATTCACCATTTTAAACTGTACAATTCAGTAGATTTCTTTTTAAAATTTTTGTTAGTACCTATTATTTTGAAGAAAACTTAGGTTGTTTTTACAGTCATGAACTCCTTTTAGGTGATAAGACATTCTAGTTCCCAGTTTCCATCACAAAACATGGTCACAAGACAGTTTCGATGTTAACCCTAATGTAGCAGTCTGTTTCAGGATGTTTATCTTTAGCTATTCCAGCCTACAAGAGTGGAGGTCGGGGATAGGAAAGCAGGACTGGTGACATTCCTTTCATCTTAACACCTTTATAGTCATATGGTTTACAGAAAGGTTTTGTTTTGTTTTTTTGAGACAGGGTCTCACTATGTAGTTGAGACTGACCTGGAACTCGCTATGTAGTCCATGCTGGTTTTGAACTCACAGCGATCCTCCCGCCTCAGCCTCCCAAGTGCTTGGATTATAGGCGTGTGTCACCACGCCCGGTGTTTTATAGAAAGTTTCATGGCTCAGGGATTTTCATCTTACCTTGAACATCTGGTCTCATCCTGGGATGCCAATAAACACCTCCAGCATTTGTTGATTTTAAACTGGGGCTACGTGCCTTTAAGTTTCAATGGTGAAACCTTGGGTGTTTTGTTAACTAAGCAAAGCAAAGCAAATTACAGAAGCAAAAGGCAGCGGTTAATCCCTATTAACATTTTGTAGGTTTCAGACTATTTACAGAAGTTCTCACTATCAGCATGTCCAGGATGCAGCAGTGGCGTGGCCTGTGTCTTCACAGAGCTCTAGTTCAGCACCCTGCCACACCAGGACATGAAAAATAACCCCACTGTCACCAGCTCCTTAAAACTGGGATATGTGCTGTGCAAGGGCTAGTTTCCTGGTTTTGAAAGCAGATCACCAGAGAAAACAACAGGTTGGAGATGACATTCAGTATATTTAAAAATGACAGCCGTGTTTGTTTCAGAGCTATATGTGTGCCTAACACTTCAGACATGTCTTTCCTAAAAATTGTTTAAAAAGATATTGTAAAACCACACACACACACACACACACACACACACACACACACACACACCCCCTACACCTACAGTTATAGCATCTCTCCGCAAAGCAACTTGCTGACTTTCTTCTTAGAACTATGACAGGGAGCCCAAGGGGCCATATCTTCCTCGATCCACTTAAGTTTTTGATGTCCTTTGAAAGTTGGTGGAACCCTGGAGGTTGATACCATGGTGGTCTGGAGCCTGTTCTTCTCTACTCTTACTGATGCTTCCTCTCGGGGCTCAGCTCAGACTTCTGTGGGACTCCCTTATCCGCCATATCTTGTCAGTTGGCAAATTCTGTTGATTGAATCTTCTTGGTATCTTTCAGATCCATCTTTTGTTTCTCTTCCCACAGACAGATCGTGTTCTCATGACTTAGACTTAACTGTTATAAAGGCTTTTAAATCATACCATACCCACAGACTTCTCTGCTCTCATCCATCCCACAGAAAGAAGAGACCAGGTTTTTTTATTAGTATATGTTTGCAATACATAATAATTACATTAATCTTAAGGAATTGGTACATATACATATCACATCTTAACCATTTTATTCTTCTCCTCCCCATCCTCCCATCTATGATTTGATATACACACATTTTATAAAATAATTATCACAATTAAATTTACACAAGTCACTTTCAAATGTACAATTCAATAATATTACATGCTATGTAAATTACTCTGCTCAATTGTTCTCCACAAAGTAAACCAAAATGAAAAAGATAATCTACTTGAGGTAAAAGACGTGTTAATTTAATTGTGATAATCATTTTATAAAATATGCATATCAAATCACTACTTTACATGCCATAAAATCATACAATCTCATCCATGATGCCTCAGCAAAGCCGGAGATTTTTAGAAAGAGAGAGGTATATGTATTGGTTAGAAAACAGCCATGAAATTAAAAAAAAAAAATTCTAAAATTTTCTGAAATTAAAAAAATTAACAGTAGACAAAATTCATACTAGCTTTGTTAAAAGCAAAGACTAACCCAACCCTGGGACCTGTGTACAAACATGTATACCTATATGTGTGTATCAGACCTTTTGATGCATGAAAGGAGGTAACTGAAATAGTTTTAATTGGGAACTGCAAAGAGTAGAGTCATTGGATTAAATTTCACTTTTCACTCCTCTGTTGTTTAGAGGCCTGATGCAAATTAGTGGTAGTAGGAATTAAAAGAAAACTGGGAGATGTAATACAGCAGTGGATGGGATTTGACAACTGTTTGGATGTGTGTGGGAGGCAAATGCAGAAGTCAAAGATGGCTCAGCAGTATGTAGCTTGAGTGACGGGGGAGGGTGCTACCATTTATAGACAATGATACTGTGAGGAGGAAAGTGAAGTTTTGTTGTTACCAGAAGACAGATCATGAGTTTAGGTTTTCAATCCAAGTTGTGCTGCTGCTTGTTTTAAATAATAATTCTTCCAAAAACAAAGCTCCATATCTTGGTTTTAAAACCTCAAACAATATAATGCCTTCATTGAAGTGTGAGTTTATGTTAATTATATCTCAAGAAAGATTTTTAAAAGAAGTAATGCTTTATAAATGGACTTCTTGTGAGTTTTGGAACTAAAAGAGCCATACTGTTGTGTATTATTTTTTCCTTATCCATACATATTTTAAAACGAAGAAACATTTCTTTTTGAATCAGAAAATATTATTGTGAAAATTTAAAATAAATATAGGAAGAAAAGTAAGTTTTCCTGCTGCTTACAAAGTGGCAGAGACTATTCAATATGACCTGTATAATTTTTACTGACTGTTTCTTTTAGGTTATTTTAACATACTTATTTCTCTCGCAAGTGCCTTTGTAACTCAGTGCCTTCTAGCTTATTAAAAGAGTATTGTTAAAAATATTCTATACAGGCATCTTTGCAAATGTTTTTTGAACTAGAAATAGCTTGTGCACTTTTATGGCATAGAAATCAGCATCAGGTATTTAGCCCATTGTAAATTTATTTTTTGCAAATACTGTTAAAATTCCAGAAGAATTTATTTCTATACAACCCTGTGATTTTTATGTTGAGGCTGAACTAGTAGTATGCAATTTGTCATTGGATCTTTTGTACAGATAAATGAGCCAGCAAAGTCACCTGAATAAATCATTTTAATTTTAATTTTCAGTTTTATGGAAGTCATTCCCTTGTATAACATTTTTTTTTTTTTTTTTGGTACTGAGGATCAAACTTGGACCCTTGTGGTTGCAAGGCATTTGGCAAAACCACTGAGCTAAATCTCCTGCCCTTCTCTGTATATCTTTATTCTACACTCATCATTGATTGTATTTCTATTTTAGACACTATTGCTATGTTAATTTTCTCCCATAGGAAATGTTTTTTCTGTTACATTTGTTATTTCTAACCTGAGTTGAAATAGGCAATTTCCGTAACTGCCATGTTTTTCCTTTGGAGTCTGAAGAATTTCATGAATTCCAAAACCATCAGAGAATTCGGTGTTTATGATATTGTGCAAAATTACAAGATGATTTACTTGACTAATTCTTATAATCTAGTTAAATCTGTATAATGTCTCCAATGGAGAAAATAGAACACAAATAATAAATTTAATAGTTTCTAAATTTCTTGTTTTCCAGAAAATCCATACTGTGGGAACCAGTAATGCAGATGTCCCTTTGGCTGATCCCGGAATGTACCAGTTGGATATTACATTAAAAAGGGGTCAAAGTTTAGCTGCCCGAGACCGAGGAGGTAACATAAGAGTGATATCACTTAAGAGATTTTTCTATGTGTTTATGATAAACCTGGTTTTCCTTATGATTGCTGGAGCTTGAAAAGTTAACTGTAATATTGCAATTTTTAGAAGTTTGGGATGTGAAGACGCAGCTTGATATACTACTTGACTTCTCTGACTATGCAAGCCAGCAGTCTGGCCCACCTGACTCGGGTGGCTAGGTTCCTAGAAGGTGTTGACAAATGACTCTACAGAGATAATTAATGACACAGTTGGCTACATAGGTGAGCCGTGTTAGAAGTCATATCAGAAGTGACCCTCTAGTAGACCGAGAATCTTTCTGCTACATAGATTTGCTCCCTTAATAAAGTGTTGAAACTGCAGAATCCAGGACTAATGTCCCAACAGATCTTTAGATTTCTATCATGTGATTATTTGAAGCTTGGATGGACCTGGTAAGAGTAGGTTAAAAAGTTCTGTACAATGCTAAGGAATAAGACAAGACAGATACTCTTTAGTTTTCCGGTGCCAAGCCCTAGGATAACTGACTGATAAACCAGGCACATCAGAGGTTAAACCAGAGAAGAGGCAGGATCATTGACTGTGAAGTACTAGCATTTGCAAACTTTAAATACCAGTTGTGCAGGAGGCAGAGTCTTGGAGGGCCCTGCAAGCCCCAGTTCGATTGGAAGCTGAATTTTGGCTGAAACCTTCCTCCAGGAGGAAAGAAACTCCCTGAACCTGTGCTAGTTCATTGTCAAACCTCCCGGAGAGGGTCCTGGAAGACTTTGATCCTGTGTTTCTCCTCCCATCCTGTTTGACAGCCTTTCTCGAGGAGAAGAAGGAACCAGATTAGGACTTTAGTCTATAATTTCCATACCCTAACTGGAAAGGAATAAAATAACTTAATATAAGTGCATTTTATGACTAGAAATAACTAGTAGTCTATTCAATTTTTAAATAAAATACTAGAACATTCTTATTGAATGAAAATGTAATTTAAAATATTAGTATTTGAACAGATGAAGGAATATTTTAAAATTGAGCATTTGGTCTGGTAGCTAGAGACAAATTTTATTGAATTGAGCTGTCTCTAAAGAAGGTTGAAATAGATTAGAGATAGAAAATAATGCTAATGCAATAATATTAGCATTATTTGTTTTAGTTTTCAAAATTCTATCATTTGATTGAAAATAGAATTAAATCAGTAAACTGGAGATCAAAAATATACTCTCATATATATATATATATATAT